TACGAGAATCCTTCATTCTTAAATTGTTTTGGAGTATCAAGAAATAATTCTGGTGATTATATTATTGTTATGCAGATTGCACCAAAAGGTTCGTTACAACAAAATCTTGTGGAAGTATCACAATTGGAATGGAAGGATAAATTGAATATCTTATACAGTATAGCTTTGGATTTCGAGTCGATTCATTCGCAGGAACTCGTTCACAGAGATTTACACAGCGGAAATATTTGTAAACATATTTGAATATAGCATGGATCACAGATCTTGGACTTTCTAAAAAAGTAAAGGAAAGAAAGATTAGTGAAATTCTGCCATATATAGCACCTGAAGTTTTGTTGGGTCAGTCGTATACTCAAGCATCAGATATTTACAGTCTTGGAGCTATTGCGGCAGAGATTTCGACCGGACAAAGAGCATTTGATGGAATTTCGTTTAATGGTGATCTTATATCAAGAATTATCGATGGATCAAGACCTGAATGTTTAGGATCTGATTGTTATATTAATTTAGCTATGAAATGTATGAATAAAGATTTTGATAAAAGACCTACTTCAAAAGAAATTATTGAAATAATCACAAGTTGGTTAAATTAAATGTATAAGGATGATGATAATGAAATCAAAATACAATTTTTGGAAGCCAATAAGACCAAACCACAGTCGGGTAAACAAATACATTCTCAAGACGTTTATACAGTTATGATACACAAGAATTTTCCGAATATAAGTAAATCGATGAATGCAATCGAAATTTCGAACAAATTATCAATTGGATTTAAATTAAATTATATAAAATACGTGTTTATGTAGCATGTACTTAAGAAAGTGCAGCTTTAGAATTCTTAGTTATCAAATTTCTACGATGTTTAATCCCATTATATTATAGTGATAATATTTCCTTTCATTTAATCTATAAATTTTAGAATCATTTGTGTATTAATGGTTTGTTTCTCGGGAGCAGTGTTAAAGATCTAATGTTGTCAATATTCTCAAGAGCATTTAAAAAAAATTTCCGAGGATGTTATATTTTATGATCAATGATCGCCGAACTATAATACCAATATAGCATGATAATTTTGAGATCCAGTATGTTGGTACGGCGATTTTTTGCCAGAGTAACAATTGTCTGTAATGTGCCGCTTCGCGGCACAGCCAATTGTTACTCCGGCAAAAAATTGCCGCCGTACCAACATACTGTTATCTCAAATTATCATACTATATTATATAATTATAGTTCGGCGGTCATTGATAATAAATTATACTATTTATGTTTTTTTTAAAACATCTTTAATTCGTATGGTGCAAAATAATATAAGTATGGATGACGTATGCATCATGCAAAATAACAAGCATGAATGACGAAATAAAAGAAAGTGATTTATAACATAAATAGTGTAATAAACAATACACAAGCAAGAGAATCATTTTTAAATCTAAGAGCTGAGGTATAATCTTTTTAAATTTTATTTATATATTTTGTATACTTTTAAGATTTTTCATAATATATTATAGATATTAGAAGAAATTGAGTTATTATATATGCTACCTCATCAACGAAGAAAAAAAGAAAATTGATTTCCATTTGTTTTGTAAGTTATTTAATTACAGGCAAAAACATAATTTTATTCCAATTAATATATTTTATTTTTATATTTAAAGTTTTTATGAATGCGACACAATTAAACTTCGTGAACATCTAATGAATATCATAAATGATAATTGGTCAGATAATAAAAAACCTTATATTTCAAGGGCTCTTATTGAAGTTCTTCTACTTCCTGAAGAACAGCCTTCTCTTAAACAAATTGTAGGGGCTATTAGATAGATGATAGAAAATAAGCATTCTCTTAGACCAATTGAGAATGTTATTAAAGATCTACACACTCATGAAAATGTTGAGAGGATAATTGAGGGGAAATTTATAGATTTATCCAAAGAAATTGAAAAGATTATTAAAAACCTGCCCATTCTTAAAGATCTAAAAGAATCAATTGAAGATCCGAAAACAAATAAACAATATTTCTGATCGAAGTAATTGATTGACGAAAATTTAGAATACACTATTTCAATCTTTTAAGATTTATATTTCAATACTTCGTTTTAAAGTGTGGATGTCACGCGCCATTTTTCAAATTATGTCAATCATATGAATCAATATGCACCATTCGTAGATTAGGAAGTGATATAAGCTGTTTTACAACTAATATAATTTTATATATAAGTAATAAATTTACTGTACTGTACATGTGTGAGATGGCGTTTTTTAAGCTTATGAGTTGACCAGTATTGAGCATTATGGATTAGATATTTTTATATATTATGAACTGACAACCTTAACAATATGGATTGAATGTTCTTAAAATATTATAGACCAAGACATTCTTAAATATAATAAACTAGATGTTCTTGAATGTTCAAATTTAGTATATTGTATTTTACTCAGTATCTATTTACATTAAAAGCCAGATTAATTAATATTTTACTTATAATGACTTTATCCTTCAAGTTTTATTTTTTATTATCTTTTTGATAAATTAGGAAATTATTGTAAAAAAGTTATATGACAGTAAAGGAACGATGTATTTGAATTCCACATTGTCTAATGATTTGCATTAACTTTAAAAATTAGTCTAAGTTAATTTTCGTTGGAATTAATAATGGCATGCGATATTAATAATTTAATGATTGATAGAACTAAAATGAAGCTATATATCATTTATCGATTTATATTAATTATTAATTGTCATTTGCGATTTTAAAAAATGTCACGTCGCTTTTAATCGGGTGTAAAATTTACGATTAATAAAAATACGTGTATGACATGATTGAACATATACCTAAATACTAAATGTTGAATTTCCTTGTGTACATTTGATCTAGCATATTCAATTAATACTATAAATATTTTAATTGGCTGGAGTTGAGGGGAAACCTTTCAAGCTTTACTCTATAGAGTTTTAGGAATGTCCGGCTTAGAGATGGGTAAAATGCGCATGATATATAAAATGCGCATGATACCGCATGATAAAAAATTTTTTTAAATTTTTTATCCTTAATCAGATTTTGCCTACATAGATAACTTTTACCAATTATTCGATTGTAAATTTCATAGTTGCTAATCT